ATGATAGCTCTCAGTGTTGACAACACCAGAAGAAGGATTATGAGTTGCTTCAGGTTCCGCGATTGCTTCAATGTTCCCAAGAGGTTCAATGACACTACCATTTAGGTCATACATGGAAACATGAATAAAATTATGTGCCTTCTTTATATTTTTATGCTTGAACTCATTTGGCTTGATGAGAGGAGAAACACATTCAGACTTACCATTGACCTTTTTTTTCAATTTCTAGACTCTTCACGCAAACTCCATGAACGTTCCTAATAACAACATATTTTTGGAGGCTTTCTTCTCTGAGGTCTTTTTTATGTTTTCTATAAGTGTTCGTCCCTTGCCTTGTTTCCACCATGTTTTCAGAAAGACACAACATATTCACTGAGGTAAGTGAAAGGTCAGATAGAGGTTTGGGACACATAAGAAAAAAATAAAAAAGTGGACATTTTTTATATTTATATAAAGATACTTTTTACGTGTTAAGCTGGAGTAAACATGTGACATTATTCCTGATACATTTAGGTCGATAAAGATCTCACTAGGACCAAAAAATATTCAGTCACACTTTTAAAATTGTCATAATTTAATAATATAAATTCCTAAAGTTGATAGAAGATTTTCAGATTAGATAGCATCAAGAGCTTTTGTGAATATATCAACCAATTATTTGTCAGTTTGAACATGCTCAAGGGTTATTCTCTTTTCTTCAACTAGTTCCTTTCTAAAAAGATGACAAATATCAATATGTTTGATTGAGATGTGTTGGATAGGATTTTTAGAGATATTGGAAGCACTCATGTTGTCACAGTATAATATCATGACATATTTTATCATAATATATTCTTTGAGAATTTTTTTTCATCCATAATAGTTTAGTGCAACTGCTTCCAGAAGCAATTTACTCTAATTCTACAGTTGAAAGGGATACACAATTCTATTTTTTACTAAACCAAGAGATTACATTGTTTCATAGGAAGAAACATCCACCAGAAGTGATTTTCCTATCTTTGACATTGTCTTCTCAGTCAACATCATAATATCCAACTAGATATGAGTTTGTATTGAAGGAGTAAAAAAGTCCATATTCATATACTCCACTTATGTATTTAATGATACATTTAACCTGAATAAGGTGACTAATCTTAGGATTGACTTAATAGAGAGCACATACACCTATAAAAAAAATTAATGTCAGGGCGACTAGAAGTGAGATACAATAGGATACCAATCATATTCCTATAAATTCTTTCATCAACAAAGACTCCTTGTTTATCTTTTGATTACTTGATTTGCATGGCAATAGGTCTGCCCTAGTTTCGTGCATTATTTAAGCCAAATTTCTACACAATGTTCTTAGCATATTTAATTTTGGAAATAAATACATCATCTTCCATTTGTTTCACGTGAAAGCCAAGAAAATAGGAAAATTCACCAACCATGCTCATCTCAAATTCGGCTTGCATTTGTTAGACAAAATAATCCACCAACTTGGCTGGCATCCTTCCCAAAATCAATATCATTAACATATATGTGGGAAATCATAATATTCCCATTGTCCTTCTTCGTAAACAAAGTCTTGTAAATTATTTCCTTAACATAACCATTCATAGTAAGAAATTTCGCGAGTCTCTCACACCAAGACATTGAAGCTTGTTTGAGGCTATTAAAAGCCTTTATGAGTTTGAAGGCATGATTAGGAAGACATGGAGAAATAAACCTTTTTATATTCTCAACATATACTTCCTCATTTGAATACCCATTAAGAAAGACACTTTTCACATTTATCTGATATAGTTTAAATTTGAGGAAACGAGACAAACCAAGTAGTAGTCTGATAGCCACAAGACGAGCTTTATTTCTAGTAACATACCCATTCTCATCAGTATTATCTTTCTAAGTCCATTTTGTGCCAATGATACTTGCAGAATTAGGTCTAGGACAAGTTCCCATACTTTATTTCTCTCAAATTGAACAAGATCTTCATGCATAACATTGACATATAATTCATCAATTATGGATTTTTGACATTCTTGGGTTAAATGTTTAAAATAAAGCACATATTAGATATCATTTCTCTATAAGTAACTGGTTCTTTTCTTCACGTGGTGACTCCTTCATCTAGATTTCCTATAATATTTTTAACATAATTATTCTTCTTGATCCTGTATGATGTTTTTTTTCTTTCACAAGCAATATTCTCATCATCCTTTGAATCTCCATCTTCTTAAGTTGACTGTTAGTTGTTCTCCATATTGTTTAGAACATGTTACTAAATATTTGGACCAGTGAGACAATGGTCTTTGTCTTCGTCGATAATCACTTTAGCTTAATCATCGTTAACAATCACATTTATGAATTCTCTTAGATTTTGTACTCTTGTTAAACACCCGATATGCCTTGTTGTGAATGCAATAACCAAAAAAATCCTTCATTGTCCTTTAGATCAAATTTTCTTCTTTATTCACAATTAGAAAGAATATAACATATACGGCCAAACACAAGAAAATATCTAATTTTGGGCTTCCTTCACCTCCATAGCTCATACCGAGTAACCTTGGTATCTGGCAGAATTGTTACTTGATTATGAATATCACATGTAATATTCTTTGATTTTTCCCAAAAGTGATATAGAAGATGTTTGGCATGGAGCATAACTTTCAAATTTATTGCAAAATAAGATTCTTCCTTTCGATAATGTTGTTCTACTCAGATCTTATAGGGCAAAAGAACTAGAAAATCCCTTCAGCAGTGGAGAAATAAGAGAAGTTGGAGTTCTCATATTCTCTGTCATAATCGCTTAAAATGTGAATGATCTTGTCAATATCTTCTCCCTTTTTCATATTGTAAGCGATGACCAAGAATTTCGAAAATAGTGAAGATGTCATACTTTTTACGAATAAACTTCTCTCATGTGTATTTGGAGTAGTCATCAACACATACAAAACATATCTCTTTCCATCCAAACTCTCCGCTTGTATAAGTCTCATAAGATCCATATGAAGTAATTCAAGAACATGAGTAGTGAAAAAATATTGAGCCTTCACTTGAGACATCTTGGTTTTGCTTTCTAACCCGACAATCTCCACAAATTTCACCTTCTTCGATTTTAAAATCAGATATACCAATAAACTTTGTCTGTAGTAATCTTCCTCATGCTTTTAATGTTTAGGTGCCTAAGCTTCATATTCTACGATTTAATTTCTTTAATTCTAGATATGAAATAGGATTGATGATGCGATATTTATTAAATTTGTTTTAGAAAGTGCTCATAACTATATACAATTAAATCAAATATAAGATTTGTTTGAAAAATTTTTGGGCGAACATTAATCAAATCCTTCATTCTTAAACATAACCAACCAAATAATTAAACAAATAAAATAAAAATAAATATATATATATATATATATATATATATTTATATATATATATATATATATATATATATATATATATATATATATATATATATATATATATATATATATATATATATATATATATATATATATATATATATATATATATATATATATATATATATATATATATATATATATATATATATATATAAAATAATTTTTTTCCCCTTTCATCTTATCCTTTTGATTCAGAAATTTAAAAAAAAACTATTGATATTTAATTTAGTAGTTAATGTTAAAGGTAAAATTTAGTATAATTTTTTAATTGTAATTTTTACTATTTTTCCATAAAAGTATAATAAATATATAATATTTTTTTACACATATATAAATTATTCATATTTTCACTCTTTAAATAATATTTAAAAATTTTTATCATAGTAAAAATTATACTTAAAAAGTTAAAAAGTCATTATGAAATTTCCTTAATGTATTGGAGTTTAGATCTTATCTAGCATAAAAAGTTTCAATTGAAGAGAGAAATAAATACAAGTTTAAATAATTTAATATTTATACAAACCAACTTCATGTCTTTTTCTCTTTGGTATAACTTTTTGTTACTGCAAAAGATCTTAATTGTACAAATTTTCAAAAATCATATTTATTATAAAAAATGATTAGAATTTCATGAGATCTATTTAATTTATTTTGCAACAAAAATTTTGATGAGAAAACTTATAAATTTTGTATGAGATCAAAATGCTCTAACAGAGGCAAAACCGCAAGGAGAAAGATGATACATTAAAAAATGTGAGAGAAGAAGGTCTTCTTTGATTTTTTAAGTTTTTTTTTCTTATTTTATAATTTGGTTTTTTGTATTTTTATTTTTATTATTTTTCCTTAAAAGCTTTTTAAGGATAGGGGTGATGAATATATATATATATATATATATATATATATATATATATATATATATATATATATATATATATATATATATATATATATATATATATATATATATATATATATATATATATATATATATATATATATATATATATATATATATATATATATATATATATATATATATATATATATATATATATATATATATATATATATATATATATATATATATATATATATATATATATATATATATATATATATATATATATATATATATATATATATATAGAAACCTTATAAAGTAACTAAAGTTGGTCAACAAAATTAATTAGGAAAACTATAATTAAAAAAATTCTATTTCATTACTCCAATGAAACATTTTAAAATCGGGGATGAATGTAATGTATATATTATTTTCTCTTTGTAAATATGGATGTGTGTAAGGTATATATAGAACATTTTTTCATATGCATTACAATGTTATAGGTGTGAAACATTTACGTTTACATTGTGACAATTTAAGAGGAGGTAAAATACATAGAAAATAAACAATATGCATTACTGAATAATTTCAAATCCCTTTTTTTATAAGCATTTCAATTCCCATTTGTTACATCCTCTATCTTTTTATTTTATTTTATTTATGTTTGTCTTTTTAATTAGATTTTTTTTCCTTTTCTGTTTGTAGATTATTTCAATTATTTGATCACTTATTTATCCTATATTTGATCAATGGAGAATAAGAGATGGTTGAACATAGTAGTTGATGGAAACAAAGCCATGGAGCAGTATTGGACTGATATTGTTTCAAATTATCTTGAAAAAATTGTCAGGTATGATGATAATTCTCTTATCATTTGATTTGATTTTTGTATGATAATTGCTACACATGATAAAATTTCAGTTATGTTAGTTTTTTTTTTAATTGAAAATTCTAGTATTTTCTGATCTTAACACAGTTTCGTGAAAAAAGAAACTCTAGTAATTTGAAGGATGTAATTAAAATATAATTAATATTATATAAAATTGTTCAAATCCTTCTATATTTATTTAAAAATTATTAACCAAAGTTATTGTTGCATTCTTTCACATGATGATTCATACTCTCATTGAATGCAAACGAGTGAAGGTTACTCAAAGTTAAGAACTTATGAAGCATGTGATTTTAATGGGTAATGAAATTCTTTGAACCCAGGTACACTAATATGATTAGTTAATTGAATAAGATGATTGAATTTTACCTAAAAGAACATAACTGAATATGCAATATACTTATTAGAAAATATCTTAATGCCTATCAAAAAGAAAAATGTATTTTAATAAATTTTAATTGAGTATAATATAGAATTAAATATGGTCAAAATTTGCCAATAAAAAGTCAAAACTCTAAAAAAAAAGTGGTCAAATCCTTATCACAAGATGATACTGAAAAAAATTCTTAAATTTTATTGGACTGCTATTTTTAAATATTATTTTGTTATTTGCTTTTTAAAATTTATTATAATCCTTTTTGTATCTCAAATTGATAAGAATGTATGACTTGTTAATTATTATTATTATTATTATTATTATTATTATTTTTATTTTTATTTTTATTATTATTGTTGTTGTTATGATTATTATTATTATTTTAATCAAAAATATTTAAATTGTAAAAAGTAAAAATAAAACTTTTAAGTAACATAGTGGTAACACTTTTCATGTAAAAAAAAGTTAAATTATATAGATCTGAGAGCGCTTTCTTAATATACTTGGATTTTTTTAACTTTTAATTTTGATTTAATTCCTTTTAGTCAAAAGATTACAAGGAACATTTTTTTCTTATAATTATATGTAAATTATCTAAAGATGAGTGTAAAGTTTGACTTTGTTGTAAAAGAATTAAAATAATAAATATTATTATTTTTGAATTACTTACTAAGATGTCGACTTTATAAGATATATGATGTTTTAAATAGTTTGTTTTTTTTACAAAATATTTAATTTTGCATCATATATACATTGTAAATTTTGGCAAAATATTTTGCATAATTTATTGTTCATTCTAACTTCTAACCACAAATTAGTTATTATTTTTTCAATAAACAATGAATTTCTGTTAGTACATAGACATGTCTTGCAAATCAACAAAATTGTCATTAAATGATGTTGAAATTTAAAATAGTGTAAACAAATTTCTTTGTAGTTAAGAAAGAAAAACATGACATCATTCTTTCAAATATTAATAAAATATTCTATAATTTTAAGAATTGAAAAACCACCTGTTTTCTTTTTATATCTCTTTATTTAAATTTCTCCCTCGTCTTTATCATCTATGTAATGTGAAAATATTCTTTAACTTTAGCTACAGAAAAAACACATGTCTTCTCATTATGGCTCTATTTGATAAAATTAACAATTAAAACACATGTCTTCTCATTATGGCTCTATTTGATAAAATTAACAATTAAATGATAAATTAATTAATAATTTATAGTTTAGAAATAATAGTTAATAATTGATAATTTATAATTTATAAATAATAACTAATAACCGATAGCGGTTAAAGTAATTAAAATATTTAATAAAATTAACAGAGTGACATAAAAAATATTTTTTATTAATAATTAAATATATATTTAAAATAATTAAAATTTATAAAAATAATAATAGAAGAAAAAATAATAAACAATAAAATATAAATTAAAACATTGTTTTAAAATAACGTCTATAAATTAGTAATATAAACTATAATGTTATATTTTTCAAATTTTATAATCTATATATTGTATTCACATCTCTTTCTTTTCTCTTCACTCTTAAGAGTACAATTTGTCACCTTCATTAATTTCATAGAAATCCACACAAACACAAAAATGACTCACAAAAACATCACAAAAAAAAATATAAAGAGAGAAAATCCAAAAATAAATTATAAAAAGCAAACAAATATAGTTACATCGTCCAACTACAACTTTAAAAAAAATGGTTGACAAATTGCTCATTACACAAAATTTATCTAATGTAGAAATAACATTTATGTGTCCAAAACTTGTCAAGAAACTTGATAATCACAAGTTAGGTAAGACAAGTAAAAGAATCTAGATTTTACTGTAGTTAGAATTAATTTAGATTTTATAATTAATTAGATATTAATTTATATTTAGGAATATCTTTTAGATTGTTTATATTTTTGTTAGAAGATATATATCTTAGATCTTCTTGTATTTTTGTCAGAAGATATATTTTAGATTTAATTTTGTGTATAAATAGTCTAGTGGAGTAGGTTATTGTAATTCATTGTAAATCCTTATTTAAAGTTGTCAGTAAATATTCCTTTTGCCTTTTATCTTCCTTGTGCACCAACAATTGGTATCAGAGCTCCTGGTTAGAAACTCTGGAATTTGGGAAACATTGTTTCATTGATAGAAATTCTGGAATTTGGGAAACATTGTTTTTCATTGAGTTTCTGAGTAAATTGCACAAGGTAGAAGATGAACGGAAACTGTGACGATATTCATTCCAAGCTTCCAGTATTTGATGACAAAAACTGGAATCGTTGGAAGATCCAGATGCACGTGTTATTTGGTGCTCAAGATGTATTAGATCTTGTCACTAATAGCTATGATTTGTTAGAAGCAGATGCAACAGAGGCCTAGAAGATAGCACATAGGGCGCTAAGAAAGAAAGATCAGAAGGCGTTGTTCTACATCCATCAATATGTGGATGCAAATGTGTTTGAGAAGATTGCTGATTCTGAAACAGCAAAGGTTGCGTGGGACACACTGGTCAGATGTTACGGTGGTGACGCATCAGTGAAGAAGGTGAAGGTTCAGTCTCTCAGAAAGCAATATAAGAATCTTAACATGAAGGACAACGAGAATGTTTCTGAATACATCTCTAGAGTGATTCTGATCACTAGTGAGATGAAAGCTTGTGGAGAAACTCTGTCTGAATAAGTAATTATTGAGAAGATCTTGAGATCTTTAACTTCTCAGTTTGATTACATTGTGGTAGCAATTGAATATTCCAAAGATTTGAGCACCATGAGAGTTGAAGAGCTACAAAGTAGTCTAGAGGCGTATGAGTTGCGTATGACTGCAAGAACTTCTGAGAGGGAAGTAGAGTAGCAGGATCTGAAGGTAACTTCTGGTAAGAAGCATCAGAAGCAGACTTGGTCAGAAGTCAGAAACAAAACTAATGATGGTCAAAGGTCATAAGCTTCAAACTCTGATAGGCAGAAGAATGTCCAGAAGGGAAAGGAGAAGTCTGACAAGAAGAATGTTCAACGTTACTATTGCAAGAACTTTGGTCACTATGTCAGAGATTGTTGGTCCAACAAAGAAAATAAGTCAAAAGAAGCAAATATAGCAAGAGGAGAGTCTGATGATGAACCTGTGCTATTGTTGGCTTCTGAACCTGGTGATCTGAATTCATCAGAATGGTGGTATATGGACACAGGGTGTTCAAACCATCTTACTGGAAACAAGAAATGGTTGGTTGATTTTGACTCTGGGAAGAGTACAAAGATCAGATGCGCTGATGCTAAATACCTTAATGTAGAAGGTATGGGAAATGTCAGAATCATTCTAAGCAATGGGAAAACAGCAGTGATCCAGAATGTATGGTATGCACCTGGCATGAAAAGCAATCTAATGAGTGTGGGACAACTGATTGAGAAAGGTTTTTCAGTGACCATGAAGGACAATCTTCTGAAGCTGTATGACTGTAATCAGAAGCTGATTATGGAGTCAGAACAAGGAAGGAACAGAACATTCAAGATGAATGTTAGAACTGCAGACTCTGAATGTTTTCGTGCAACAAGTGTTGTCAAGGAGAGTGATCTGTGGCACAGAAGATTTGGTCATCTGAATTTCAGAAGTTTAGGACATCTGAAATCAAAGAATCTGGTACATGGAATCCCTACAATCAAGAAGCCTGAAAAAGCATGCAAGGTGTACATGGAAGGGAAGCAACCAAGATTACCATTTGCATCAGAAGTAGCTCCAAGAGCAAAACATGCCTTGGGAGTAATGCATTCTAATGTGTGCGGTCCTTTTCCAGTAGCATCAACTAGAGGGAATAAATATTTTATGTCATTTAATGATGAGCTCACCAGAATGACACGGGTATCTCTCATAAAGTTCAAACATCAGGTGTTTGCTGAATTCAAGAAGTTCAGACTGAAGGCTGAGAATTAAAGTGACCAAACTCTGAAAATTCTTAGAATTGATGGTGGTGGTGAGTATAACTCCACAGAATTCAGAAGTTTCTGTGAGGAGAATGGAATTGAGCATGAGGTTACTGCTCCCTATACTCCTAAACACAATGGTCTTGCTGAAAGAAGAAACTATACTTTTCTTGATATGGTGAGAAGCATGCTGAAAGAGAAGAAACTTCCTCATACTCTATGGGGAGAAGTTGTTGCAACTGCATGTTATGTGCTCAACATATGTCCAACAAAGAAATTAAAGGAAATAGTTCATATTCAGAAGCGGACTAGAGATAAGCAAAATATTAGTCATTTGAAAGTGTTTGGTTCTGTATGTTATAAACATGTCTCGGAAGCCAGAAGACAAAAGTTAGATGATAGAAATAAAGTGATATTGCTGGTGGGGTACCACAGTACAGGTTCATACAAAATTTATTGTCCAAAAACTAAAAAGTTGAGTTCAGCAAAGACGTCATTGTAGAAGAATCAGAAGTTTGGAATTGGGAAAAGTCTCGTCCTGACTCTGATGAGAGAACTTCTGAAGAAAAGTCAAAAATACATGTTTCTGAAGCTGGTAAAGACTCTGACTCTGAATAAGATACATAAGGAGAAGATGATTCTGACTCTGACTTCGATGGTGATCCAGACTCTGAAGATAGTCAAGGTTCTGGAGAAAGTCTGATTTCTGAAGCAAGTGCTTTTGAAGGGGAAAGTTATGGTGTCCAAAGTTCTGAAGGTCTAGTTCAAAGGCAACAAAGAGTCAGAAGCATCCCAAGAAGATTTGTAGAGTTTGACATATTGCAAGACACTGAAGTAGACTCTGAAGGAGAAGTTATTCAGTGTGCAATGTTAGTGGACTCTGAACTCGTGAGCACAGAAGAGGCTCTTAAGCAGCAAGTTTGGTTGCAGGCCATGAAAGAAGAACTTGATGCTATAGAGAGAAAGAAGACTTGGAAGCTGGCAGAACTTCCAAAAGGAAAGAAAGCCATCAACGTCAAATGGGTTTTCAAGCAGAAGCTAAATCTGGATGTATCAATTGGCAAACACAAAGCGAGATTAGAAGCAAGAGGCTTTCTACAGAAGCCTGGGCTGGATTACTTTGAAGTGTTTGCACCTGTAGCGAGACATGAAACAATCAAACTAGTAATTGCAATAGCTACTAAGAGGAATTGGCCTCTAATTCATTTAGATATAAAATGTGCATTTCTGAATGATCCATTATAAAAAGAGGTGTATGTTTCACAACCTCCTAGATTTGAGAAAAAGAATCAGGAAGGGATGGTGTTTAAATTACACAAAGCATTGTATGGATTGAAGCAAGCGCCCAGAGCTTGGAATTTGAAAACTGATTCGTTTTTCAAGGAACAAGGGTTTCAGAAGTGTGAGATGGAGTATGGTGTTTATGTTCAGCATACTTCAGAAGGTAATATGATTTTGGTCTGTTTGTATGTTGATGACATATTACTCACAGGAAGTTCTGATGAATGCATTTGCGATGACAGATCTTGGAAAAATGAGTTTCTTTATAGGGATGTAATTTATGTACTCTGAGAAAGGAATCATTTTCCATCAGATGAAGTATGAACTAGAACTTATGAAGATATTTGAGCTAGAAAATCGCAAAGTTACTATCGCACCTGTTGATACAAATCAGAAGTTGGACTCTGATTCTGATGGAGAGGATGTGGATGCTACAACCTTCAAACAGATGGTTGGTTCTCTAAGGTATTTGTGTAATATCAGACCTGATATTTTCTATGTAGTTGGAATGGTTAGCAAATTTATGAGCAAATCAAAGTGGTCTCATTACCAAGCTGTTGTCAGGATTCTGAGGTATGTAAATGGAACTCTGAAATATGAAGTGTTATTTCTGTCTGGAAGAAAGATCGAATCAGAACTTTTGAGTTATTCTGATTCTGATTGGTGCAGAGATAGAGTTGACAGAAGAAGTACTTCTGGGTACTTATTCAAATTTCTGGGAGGTCCTATTTCTTGGTGTTCCAAGAAATAACCTGTTGTTGCACTGTCAACTTGTGAAGCTGAATATATTGCAGACGCTCTGACTGCATGTCAAGCTGTGTGGATTCTGAACTTGCTGAAAGATCTGAAGATTGAGGTAAATAAACCTCTGAAACTGATGATTGATAACAAGTCTGCAATCAATCTTGCCAAGAATCTAGTGTTGCATGGGAGAAGCAAGCATATTGAGACCAAGTATCATTTTCTGAGGAATCAAGTTCTTAATGGAATTTTAGAAGTTGTGCACCGTAGCACCCAGAAGCAGCTGACAGATGTTCTGACAAAGGCTATCAAAACTGATCAATTTCTTGGTTTAAGGGATGGAATTTGTGTTGTCAGTTTTGGGTAAATATAAATTAAGGGATAGTGTTAGAATTAATTTAGATTTTATAATTAATTAGATATTAATTTATATTTAGGAATATCTTTTAGATTGTTTATATCTTTATTCGAAGATATATATCTTAGATCTTCTTATATCTTTGTTAAAAGATATATTTTAGATTTAATTTTGTGTATAAATAACCTAGTGGAGTAAGTTATTGTAATTCATTGTAAATCCTTATTTAAAGTTGTCAGTAAATATTCATTTTACCTTTTATCTTCCTTGTACACCAATAATTATTAGTAGTAAATTCAAATCTCAAACAAACAAAAAAAATTGTAGTTAGGCATTAACTTTCATCGAAATCGAAATTAACCATATAAAATATTTAATTTCATTATTAAATATTATAATCACAATCTATACTTAAAGCTTAATATAATCATGAATTCTTTTTGGCAAGTAATTGAGTTGTTAGAAATTCATCTCCTAAATATGAATAAATAATATGTCATATATTCGAATTTTTATCCTTACAATTAGATGTCATGTCTGTGATGCACAGTTACCAAACTACCAATTGACATAATTTAAGGAGACAATTTATCATGGTTTTAAATGAATTAAAATTTCATTGCTTACAAAATTTAAGGTGGGCTTGTTTCATGATTTAAAATTATATTTTTTTAGAATGATATTTTTAAGATTATTATTTTTGAAAATATTGTTTTAACTTATGTATTTAGTAGGAATTTAAATTTTTAAGAATAACTATAAAATTTATTCAATTTTAAATTAAAAAAAAATAAAAAAAATAATATTAAATATGAATGATAGTGGAAAATTATAGTTAATTGAAGTTATTTCTAGAGAATATTTTATTTTCATTCTTTATATTTTTAGAATAAGAATAGAAAAATCATATGTAAATATTATTTCTTAGAATAAAAAATTATTTGGAATAATTTTGTAAGACTTGAATCAAACATGAAAATATTGTTCCACCTATGTTGAGTTTAACCTCTGAAAATTCAAAAATACCTTTGAGATATACATATTCGAACGCACTCAATATTTAGTTTCAGAGGTTTTCAGATATATGCTTATCTGAAATATTTCAATATTTTATTTTCAAAGGTTTTCAGATATGCATATCCGAAATATTTTAATATTTGTATTAATTAGAATCAAGGTGTATCAATTGCATTAATTAATATATTTTATAACAAAATAAAATATAACTAAATAATCTCGGTGATCTAGACCTTGCGTTCCTGCATCACTAACCTTTATGCGATCTAACATAAAAAAAAAATTAATTTTCTGAAAAATCACTAACCTTTCATATTTTCGAAAAAAAATTGTAGACAATTAATTTAACTTCATTTGATTTTTAGTTGTATTTTTAAATTTTTATAACAAAGTAAAATTCAGAAATGCATATCCGAAATTATTTTTTTTTATAAAAAATAAGATTTATTCGGAGATGCATATCCAAAAATATCTTTTTTATAAATTTTTATGGAATAATGATACATTCGAAGATGCATATCCGAAAATATAAAATATTTTTGAAATTTCGCCAAAAATTCCTAAAAAAACATAGTGGTGGAGAAAAATTCTCATATTCCATTGTCTAATTATATTATGAATATTTGTTGTAACTTTGAAACAACCACACACCCTAGTTATATAGTTGCAATACTCAAACTATTTCATGTTATATATGAACCAACAATGTACATGTGTATCACTTTTTCCTTTGTTGGTTGTTGGTTATGCAGGTGCTTCATTGGTGAAAGACAAGACCATGTAATTTTAATAATATTTTTCTTTAAATTTTATCCAAATATAATCCAATTTTTAAGTCTCTACTAAATAATATAATTTCTCTTACATCATATATTTTTTCTCTACAGGAAAATTATCTTGGGCTGGTGTTTTATAATGCAAACTCTGAACTAGGTAAGACTTTTTTTTTCTATAAAATTTATATGTCAATTTATTGAATGCATATATCTGAACATTTTAACTTGTATTCAGTGGAAGCAGGCTATGACATGCAATTCATAAACTGGACAAAAGATGTGAATAAATACATGCAACATTTGTCACATTTATCATTCAATGGAAATGATCTAAATCAATCTAGCATGGCAGAAGGTTTAGCAGAGGCTCTTGTGGTATTTTTATTCTCATTATTCAATTATTAATTTAACTATTTTATACATGAAACAATATAGAGGAAATAAAAGTAAGTTAGCAAATTAAAAAGTGGTTGAATTGTTTAGATGTATCCAAAGCCATGTGATACAATGACAGAAAGAGAATACTACAATGCAGAAAGACATTGTATTCTAGTGGCTTCAGGTGAACCTGTTCCTAAGACAATGCTTGTCTGTGTACCTATGATTCAAAGAAGTCAAGTTATTGGTCGAAGATTACAAGCTTGTCAGATCGATTTTCTTGAAGTTGCCAAAAAATGTGTCCCGGTAATATGCTCAAACAATACATATTTATATTTTTTATGCAGTGATTGCAGAGCCGTTAAATCTTAAAACGATTCTGCAGACACTAGAAAAGATTACCGAGTAGTTGGATAAATGTAACTTTCTAATATTGACTAATGCTCATGTTGCTCCACACAGCTAGCTGTGTCCCTGTCAGTGATAAGTCCTAATCCAGTTCCAATTTTTGGAGTCATATTTAACTTGGTAAGTGTTATTCTCCCTTATACGAAATATTTGAATTATTATCCTCTAAAATTTCATAAAGATGTTGGAGGCCTATAAAGACTCTACCATTAGACACGACATTGATACTTATAATAATTTTAAAATAGAGATGTTGATTGTAATTATATGCGTTAGTCTTGTGTTGATGTTCAATATTGATATTAGTTCGACGTGATTTATAAATTAAAAAAAAATATATTTCACGTTTATTAAGAAAGACAATTGAGTGTAATTATTTTTTTGATTTCATGTAAGAGAGATAATATAATTACTAATATATCCTAAATTAAATTGTTATCCACTAGCAATATCAAGTGATTAATGGAGAGATAATTTTGTAATTCAAGCATTAAATGCACCTAAGAGTATATTTATGATGATATGTTTCTTGTTTTTGTAGGGAAATAATGTATTAACATGGTCAAAGGCTCCAATCTCTAGTTACAGCACTGGTCAATTGACGATTTTACTGTCAAAAAACTTTAGAGAAGCACACACTGCACTTAAAGAAAAAAGAATAGTGGAATTTCCTTCAACAAGTGTTGGGTCAATTAATACAACACCTGATTCAACACTTTTCAGAGTTCTCAATGTCCAAGGTTATTTATTTCTCTTACAACATAAATATTTGATTCAATTCTTTTAGCATTTTCTCATTCTTCATACTATTGCGATATTTTCAGAAGAATCCGTAGCATCTCAAGCGATGATAGGAGCGAACATAAGCGAAGCTTGCAAGGACTTAACGCCGGTAATGTACCTCTTTTGTATTTGTAATGTAAAAGTAGAGGAAATTGATTGTAATTACATGCGTCTGTCTTATGTTGATGTCCTACACCGATACCTCTTAGACACTTTTTAGTGTGAAGTGTTATATAACACTTCACATTAAAAATATGTCTGAGACTGAGTACTGTGTATAGTATGAGGGAATTAGTCTATGTATATATATTTATGTTTCTGATTATGGATCGATTTATTTATTATATTGACATACAATACATTCTTGTTCAGGAGAGTGTAAGCACCTTACAGCCTATCGATTTTCCGGACTTGATTTTATCAAATGGCACGGACCAGGAAAATGTTGCATCCCTTAACTCTCAAAATCAGATAAATCTATATGAAGATATCATGGCCGAGCTTAATAGTGACAACAATATTTTTCCACCGATGAAAAGGTCGAGAACATTTACACCATTAGAAGAAGACAATGATCTGATAAACCTTTTCACACTGGATGAAAACCCTTTTGATGGCATCAACCATTCTCTTGGACAAGATCAAGGAATCTCGTTCGAAAAACAGGTTTCGGCTGAAGCTCTATTAGAGGTTGAAAATGAACTGGAAAAAGCCCTGAATGTTGTTTCAAACAATACACCAGATGATCAAACATCAAATGTTGAATGGACCGCAAGTTCATCGAACATTGTAAACTTTACTCCGTTCGAAGTACAAGCTCCAGTTTCGAATACAAAAGAAGGAAATTCAACAGGACTATTTTATGAAAACATTTCACAATCATGGTATAATCCGAGCGCGATAACGGCCAACACATCAACATTGGATTCTTCTTGTCAATTCCAAGCTGGTGTTTCCAATGGGAATTTTACATTTCCTAATGTAATAAGAAACTCACAAATGCAACCTCAGTCATACTTATCAATAAGTCAATTACCAATGTTTCCTAGTTTTCCTAGAGAACCAATCAGAAATTTTTCCGCGCAACCTACGAGACAACATTTTCAAGCTTACAACCAGTATCCGAGGGATAATATGGCTCCATTAAATTCTTGGTGTCATTCTACACAAAGTATGTCTGCAAATTCGAACTGGAACTCAAATTTGTATGCCTTCTCTTCCCTCGACAATTTACAAGACTACGTTCTTACTTGGGAGGTAAGTTAAACTATGTTCACTGTTTAACAGAAAAAAACATTTATCTTTCTTCTTATAGATTTAGATTCTCCGCATCTACGAGGTTGCTGATAATATATGAATAATCATCCAGGGAAATTTAACAGGAAAAATTAACTCAAGCCGCGTAACTGTCGTTAAAGCAAGGGTATGACAAAATCTAGTTTCTATGGAAATATTTGACATGAAAATGTATAAATAGCTTAAAATTTTCCTTTTGCTTTCATGTAACAGGCTTTCAGAAAAACAACAACACCACTCACGTAAGAGAATTCTGCTTTGTATATAACCATAAAGTTTGTAACAAAGCTTTGGTGTTACACTTCTCAAATAAACATGCATAATTGTTAACTTTTTGGTGCATTTTGCAGGCTTACTCTTAGGTGGAGTAATAGGTTGGAGATAAACCACTTGATGCCACTTAAGGCTGTTAACCATACCAAGAAGTAATTTTTATTTAAGCACAATGATGCCTATTTCAATTAATATTATATGTTTGGTTCTAGGGTTTAAACACTTAGAATTGATTTTGACATGTTTGGTTGCTTTCAAGTAGAATTGCTTAATGTATTATACTTGCTTACATATTCTAATAATGTTAAATTTTCAGGTTTTCCCATCCAATAGATAAAGTCATCTTCCATGTGCTTAAGTACAACAATGTTGATTTGTACAAGCACTTGAAAAGCAAATATTTGGTGAGTCACACACACTTTTATACACAAGAATTCAAAAAAAAAATTGTACCTAGTCTTAAGTATTTAATGTGTATATGCAGTGTGCTAAAATTGATCTGCAATACCATTCAATAATCATGTCACCAACTGAAAGAGAAAACTTCTTTGTTGGAACAATCTTCACCGGAGTGAGTATAGTATTTCAAATAGTATCTAATTTTATAGCTTTTCTTTAAAGTTTTCTTTTGAATTTTTATTACCTATAATCTAACTATTCAATAAATGACAGGATACATTGTTCATAGAACCTGCATAACCTGAGAAAAGAACAGTTTTCTTATTTTATGTGATGAATTTGATGTAATATAACTACATGTGCCCTCAAGAGGATGATAGTTTTATGTGTATGTATTTAATATTTATAAGAACTCTTGATCAAGAGTGTGTAGAGTATCAAAATATACCTGACAGTTTCTTATGTAAGATTATCTTCACTTGGAGAAAAAAATATTAATCAATTACTACTTGCTATCACGAGTATGAATATAAGCAACAAAAAAATGCGTTCATATTTTTTTCTCTCAGATATAACCAAGCTTGTCTATGATATCTAATATATAACGGAAAAAATTGTTGCACTTTTGAAAATGCACTTGTCTATTTTACATTTTACTAGATGAAGAAAATTAGTTATATACTTAATTAAATTTTTTAAAGATGAAGTTGATTATTTTTTCTTATTATTAGAAAAGAAAAAATACCCTAATATTTTATTCTTCAGCAATTACAGATGTAAATAAAGAAATTACAACTACAAGTAATATTCTACAATAATAATTTAGGAGAATATTATTATAATATAAAAAACTAAATATAAAAAAAAAATAGAGAAATTATACTTACTCCAACATATCCCCCTCACTTGTCTTTTGATCTCTTAATTTAATTTAAGGTTTCACTTTAGTCTCTTATGTTAGTGCACTTACTCATTAGATATTTTGTATGAATCTGCGGCGTTGCTCGTCACTATCCCCTTGAAAATCAAAGATAATACTAGGCATCAGCAATTCATGAGGACCTTCTCTTCTAGCTCGCCCAAACTGACGTAAGGCCAAGCATGGATTATAAGTAATTCCTCCATTGGTTCCTATCAGTGGAACATTGGGGTACTCCCCACATCGATCAATAATAGCCACCTCGTCCATACCCTTGGTAGTCCAGATGAGGTCATTATGAGAGAGAGACATAACCCTATAGGCCCAGCCCATGCCTTCTTTGTTCTTCAGCACTAATTTGGGGAGGTGCGAAATAAACCACCTCGCCAATAATGGAGCACAGCACATCAAGGTTCCCCGCTGTGATCGGTGGGAATGAGAACTGACTGTTTTAGAATGCTGGTTCGCGTTTGCGTTTGTTTTCGCAAAATATTGCGGTAAGCAAGAGTCGCCACCGTCTTTTATTTTATCCAACAAGGAAAGGACAAAAGCACAGAAAAATTCCTTTTTGAGATGTTTCTCGGGTTCGGGAGGTAGATTATAGAAAGGGAAGGTGTTAACACCCTTTCTATCCGTGGTTATCCACGGGCTCTTAGGTACCTGCTCATTGTGTTTTCAAAATTTTGCTTTTCTTTGTGTTTGTGGGTTTGAAAAGAGTTTTTGTTTTGAAAGGAGTGTAAGTGCGAGAAGTTTTGTTTTGTTTTTAAAAGGAGCAAGTACTTTAAGAACCATCTACCTACTCGAAAAAGGAATTAATCTGTACAAATGTCCTTTAGACAATGCTATCCAACTATTGAGGAGTAGGTAGCAACGTCGTTGGAGTTTTCGGGTCAATTCGATTAAGGGACGTGTGGTCACTAAAGCAACGTTAGGACGCCTTAGCGGTAACCCTAATATCCTAGATCATTTTTCCGAGGCAACCGTTTCGAGAAAACTATGATCTTTGGACAAGAGGGCGACCTCTAAAACTTCCTATGCTCAATGACCACATTCGAGGCAACCAAGTGAGGTGTACCCTAAGAGTGGCATGTGCAAGTGTGTTATTTCGATTAATTTTATCTGTACATGTTATGGGCGAGCTATGTTGATTTTAAGTTCATACATTGGATCTTGTCATGCATTCCCTATTATCAGACATCTAACAGTTAATATTGTGCGGAAATTAAATTGCGGGAAATTAAATCTAAGCTATTACAAGGCGTCGGGTATTTACATCGCCAAAAACAAACCCTTTAATTTAAATTGCGGAAAATAAAAGAAAGCGATAAATAAATAAAGTCCTAATTAAAAGCTATTACATACTAGAAGCAATTACAATATTGGAAATATAAATCGCGTGCGAAGAAAATTAGATCGACGTATTTTTAGGGTTTTGACCCTTTTTTGAAAGAAAGCATGTTTTTTCGTTATTTTGAATTTAAAGAAATTAAAACTAAGTTAATTAATTAATCAAATGAAGAAATATATTTTTTGATTTTAATATTTAAGGAAATAAAATAAAATGATTAAAATTATTAAAAACCTAATTCTACATTAATTTTAATTTATTGCAAAAAATATTAAAATTGTCCCTAATTAAAACTAAATTAATTGATTAAAGTTTATTTACAAAAATAATGAAATAGTGAAATTAATAAAATATTATTTTTTATGTTTTCTGATTTTATGAAGAAAATTATTAATTATTTTGGTTAGTAATTAATTAAGAATAATAAAAATAAAACAAGTAAATAAATAAAATATTAAAAGGAAAGAAATAACCAAAGGGGGGTGCTGGGCCCAATTTGAAGGTGAAATCAGCAAATCTCCAAGCCCATTAACGTTGGCCTTTGTTGACCTCTGTGATTCCATATGCGCCCGTTGACCAGAGACCATGGTGGATGTCCAACCTAAGCCATTGGATTTGATTTGTGGGCCACTTGGCGTTTGAGATCTGGAAGAACATGATGGTCCACGCCTATGATGCTGCATACAATTGCCTGGAGAAAAATCATAACAAATATTGGGGGACCTGGGTTCGACTTTTACACGCCTCCCTTACCAACTCAACCACTACATCTCTTTGTTAATGGAATAAGCACTAAATATAATATTGGAAAACAATTAACACGCCTGGAATAAAAAATAAAAAGCGCGAAGCATTTGAACTAGCGAATGAGAGGGAGACGCGTCAGCGTCTTCTTCGTTGAGCCACTGGTTTCTTACCTGCGGATTTTTATCCGCAGCAAGATCCGTAGGTTCCTTCTAAAACAACTTCCAGGCAATATAAATGCAAACTAAATTCATCCCCATGCTCGTTTCGTTCTCCTAAATCCATCCATGGCCATGGCTTGTTCCAATTTTCCCTGTAACTCAAACGCCTAAAAAGCAAAAACCAAAACCCTAGCTTTGGGCATGGCTGTACAGGCTATCAAAACAAAATTAAATATTGCAAAAATGTTCTAAATGAAGCGACAAACACAAATATGCAAAGATTTTAGTGAAAGGATGCAAGAATCAGAGGGTTGGATTTCGTGTTCAGGGCCACGTTCTTGAGTACTTACAGCGCGATTTAGGAGGTTTTAGGACTTGGTTTTGATTCCAATCGCTTCAGCAGACGTCCAACAAGAGATTAGTGTCAAGTTTTTGCTTTGAATCGAGCCCTAAGATCGTTTTTAGATTCCACTTTTTCCAAGCTTTTTTCAAAAAAATTCTGGCCGTTTCTGCAATAATTCGGTCATGTTCTTGATATGTACAGCTTGTGTGTGTATAAGGGAATGAATTAGGTTAATCTTTGGGCCTTGAATCCATGAGTATTGAAGATTGGAGATTTGATATGATCTTCCATTAACAAGTTTCCAAAATTGTACCAAATCTGATTTTTTCTGCACAACAATGCTTGATACGAATTTGATTATGTGAATCATGATAATTGAAAGCTGCAATGATCAAAAAGATATCATTCCATCAATTTTTGGATTTTATTTGAATTAATATTGATTTAAAATGAATTAATTCAATAAAAATTAAATAAAATAGAAAAATAAATGAATGGCCATGAAATTGAAGATGGGACACGTGTGTGGTGTGAAAAGACCAAATCAAGTGGAAAAAAGTGGGTCCATTTGACAAAATTTGAAGTTTTGGGGATAGCTGACTTTTGGCAATTTTGGAAAAATGCCCAACTTCAACAATGCATAACTTCTTCAATTTTGAACTTTTGGAGGTGTTCTTGGACTTTTTATAAATCTTGAGATGTCCTTTAACCAACCCTTTTTGTCTCATATCATTTTGATATTCCATTCTCAAGTTATAAGCTTTGGAAAAAAGGTGTTTTTGTTGACTTTCAAAAATGACCTATAATGTCCAAATTTGTAACTTTTTGTGAGAGAATTTCTTGATCTTGGGGTGTGAAGATGGATTGTAGGAAATTACATCCTCTTAAAAATGAGCTTTTGATTGGTCATTTATCATAAATTATGAGAAAGTTATGCTTGGTCAAAGTTGAGTTGACTTTTCCTAATAAACCCTAATTTAGCAACTTTTGAATCTTGATGAATCTTGAGCAATCCTTGATGAATCATGGTAAACCCTTGATCAAATGATGAATTATCCTTCAAAATGAGAATGTTGACAAAAAATCTTGAGGTTTGACTATTTGTAGGTCATAGTTGACTTTTGCCCTAACACAGTCGATTTTTGGGCCTCTTGAGCAATTGACTGACCAAACTTTCTATGCAAGGCTTGAAATTTGACATGGATGACCTTAAGAACATATTAGGACATTGGGAAGCACTTTAGGTCATTTGGATGTAAGGACCTTGATGCAACACAAAACCCTAATTTTGAATTGACTGCCTTAGGAGATGATTTGACTGTCCAACTCTTGAGCCATCTTGAGCAACTTGAAGATTATTCTTGATAAGTCTTGAGAGATATGGGAGGGAAAATTTTGGGGTACAACATCTGCCCCTGTTTAATCTTCTTAAACCTGAGGATATATATTGGTGTTCGGGCCTTTCGTGATCCGAAGGTGGGAGATGATTGAACACTAGAGTGCCCAGAAATTTGCACTCGCATGAAGTGGTGTCAGCCTGGTGGTGTCGGGAATGGGCTTACAGATGCCATTTGGAGATTGTTGGTAGGTGGTTTTGTCTTCGTTAACGGGTTGTCTCTATCGACAGGTTGTCTCCATTGACAGGTTGTCTCCATTGACAGGTTGTCTCCATTGACGGGTTGTCTCTATTGACAGGTTGTCTCCATTGACAGGTTGTCTCCATTGACGGGTTGTCTCCATTGACAGGTTGTCTCTATTGACAGGTTGTCTCCATTGACGGGTTGT